GTTGCTACAGCGACAGCTTCGGCAACTGCATCAGTAATCAGTGAACCGAAGAAGTTAGTTCTTTTTTCCTTCGCTTTCCAGATAATTGCCCCGTGTCATGTGTAGTTTGCGCAGTGGGCCTCTGTTTATTACGGAGCTGCGTAGTAATAATAGTCGTGAACAAGCTTTTAAATGTAAGAGAGCAAACAGATTGAGAAATAGTTTTTCACGTCTTCTTCATCAGTCTTTTTGTAAAACAAAATGATTTTCGCTCTCCTCCAGGGTTTCGTTTTTATGGTCAACTAGGTCAGCAGGAGGCCTCCGAAGTTTTTAACTTCTCTGTTACTGTTGTGAACTCTGTCAGTTCCCATGTTTAGAAGTTTGCAGCAGTGACCCACCCGTCTCACGATGCTTACAAACATAGAAATTTGCTTCTGTTATTGACGTGAGCTTGAGGCACTGGAGCGATGACAAGTAGCGCCAACAGAGTGATGTTACTTTTCGAAATATTTTACCCTTCACTCATGATCCACTTTCTGTCTCTTCCACTTTTGCACTGTTTATGACCGAACATCCGTGCTAAACGTCTGCGTCCATCGTCCTTCTATGTTGAGGACAGTTCCGGCGTGCGTGTTTAACCTTCTTCGCCACGTTTGTGTCAAAGTTCCTGTCGTTAGGCAGCCAAATGTTTTAAAAATTTGCACCGGTGACATACTGCTGCGGGAGCATTTGAGTATGTTAGTAACTCACGCCGTCGTTTTGAGCGGTCTTCCGGGGGAGGGGGAATGTAGCCAGCGTTGTCGACCGGTCGACCGTTGTTCGTAAGAAAAAACGTTATCTTTGGACCGATGAATGCCTTCGTTGCTTTTCGAAGTGAGCGAAATGTACTGTTTTGTTCCATGGCGCACATTTTTCGTTTCTTACCTAACAAATCAGTTAGTAATGTTCTACGTTATCTACTGAAGCGTTATTGTTCGAGTACTGATGAACAGATGAGATGCTTTGCAAGGGGATTTTCCGAGAGTGTTTTCG